TGAGACTCCAACTAAAAAAAAAAAAAAAAAGTTCTACTGTTTCCTATTCATGCCCTTGGAAATAAATTATCATAAAAATATTTCCAAGAGCAGGAATAGAAAAATAAAAGAACAAACTGAGAGCCAAAAGCCATTTTTTATCTTGTTCTTACACCCTGCATGCATGACCAGTATTGCCACCTCCCCTCCATCGTCTCCACCTTTGGCAACTCACCTCCACTCTTGGATGAATCTGGCCCCCCATCTTCCCCTCTGGAAAGTTCTGCAGGGGGCAAATCAGGATAAGCCACCCTTCCTGATATATGTTCTTTTCTTAATCTCAGAAAAACCACAGGTTTTAATTACTTTACTAGAATCAATCATGCACATTCATTGCTTTACCTAGAATGACTGCCAGCAGCTCCTTTTAACCCTATTAACTTGTACTCAGAGAAAAAGTCCAAAAAATGTTAAATAAGGTTTTTCCCTCCTCTAGCCTAAACTGAGACCCTAACACTTTGACAGGGTCCAGGACATTAAAAATTTTCACCAGACTCTATTAGCAAGTTTAAAGAGGGCAGTCCAAAACCCAATTAATTTATCTAAAACTACTGAGGTTCTCCAGGGACCCGAGGAGTCCCCAGGGGCATTCTTTGCACGTCTCCAAGAGGCATTTTGAACCTACACCCCTTTTGACCCCTCAGCTCCGAAAATGCTCAGGCCATCAATTTGGCCTTTGTGGCACAAGTGGCTACTGATATTAAAAAAAAATTACAGAAATTAGAAGGTTTTGCAGGAATAAACATTTCTCAGCTGCTTGAAGTTGTTCAAAAAGTTTACAATAACCAAGATGCTGAAAAACAGAAACAAACAGTTCAGGCGGCTGTCAAAGCTACAAGAAGACAGGCCAAAATCCTAGTGATGGCGCTCAGGGCCCTAGGAACTGGTTCCAAGCCTCCACACCAAAAGTCTAATAACCAAAAAAGCCAAAAGGGTCAAAAACTTGAATGCATTAAGTTAACAAAGAACCAGTGTGCTTAATGCAAGGAGCTTGAACATTGGGTTAAAGATTGTCCCTATTGCCTCCCACAGAAAAACCAAGACCCGACCCTAAGTCCATTCTGGTCCTGCCCTTGATTGGTGGGGCAAAAATTGATTCAGACTGAAGGAGCCAAGGCTCTTTCTCCTTGGGCCCTCAAGAGCCTATGGTAACTGCATCTATTGGGGGCCACCCAGTTAAACTCTTTTTTTTTTTTTTTTTTGAGTTGGAGTCTCACTCTGTCACCCAGACTGGAG